CCCCCTTTAAAACACTTCTCATTTGATGCACTTGAGCTGAAACACTCTCACTATCAGAGCTGTGGGAAAACAAAACACTATTGGCTGTTATTTAAAAAGGGGAGGAGCTACACTAGGTCCCACCCTCTCTTCAAGTTTCAAATGAGATTACGTCATTCATTAAATAAAAATGCACATTTCAAAGGATTTCCTTTAAGCACTGAATGTTGTGATTCTGCTTGAAGCTGGCTAGTTTGGTTCATGTCACATGACCCCCTAAAAGGGCAAAATAAATAATAGGAAAAAAATACCACAAAAAAAAAACTGGACTGCACAGATGGAGTCTACTGCAAGTGGTTTGCAATCAGAGCATTTTCGCAGTGAAGAGCATGCGTGACTCACAGAGGTGTAGTATTCATGAGGCCGGATGTGCAGATGCAGAGGGCGAGCGGTCAGCTGGCTGAAGGCTGGCGTCAGCTCATAGCAGTTCTGGAAGAGAGAAACTCGAGCGAATATGTAGAGGCCGAGCCTAGCGCGAGACATGGCCACAACCAGACGCCGCACGTCCCTGTGTGAAGAGCAAACAGCAGAGAGAGAGAACGAGAAAATACCATTTACCACCTACTTCCAAAGGAATCACTTATCAAATACTCTTTTGGTACAAGTTTTGACACAAGCGATCCTTATTTGTGAATCATACTTGTGGTCAAAAAGGGGTGTTCACCTGTAAAGTACCCTCGTTGTTCATAAAAATCAATTACATTTATTTTTGTTTAATAAAATTTGCCCAACTTTATTTTGAATTTTGTGGTAATATTTAATATTTCTGCAGTAATTAGCATATTTTTCCCCCTAAGCAATGGAATGGTAACATTTTAGAATAATGGTCCATTAGTTAATGTATTTACTAAGATCAACTAAGTGTCAATAATCTTGTAAGCCATTAATTAATCACAGTTCCTCATTTACTAGGGATGTAACGGTATCAGAATTTCACAGTACGGTAATACCTCGGTATGAATGGCACGGTATGGTATTTATTGAATCATTTACAGTAAAAAACAAATGAAATACTACAAAAAAGTGCCAAAAGTGTCAATGACATACAAATTAGCCATCTATCTGTAAGCTTTGAAACAGGAACTTCAATTTTAATGACAAAAAAATATTAAACCATGTAAAAAAATAAAGTTTCAATTTAGTATTGTTGAAAACTCATCACATTCAACATTTAATCACTCACTCACTTAGAGATGGGTTTTAAGGAAAATCGTATAAATATAATCTGGTAAAAGCTGGTATCTCTGGGTATTTACAATGTCCCCTGCAACAGAAAAAAACCCTCTCATTTGGGACTGAGGTTTCTGGGACAGAGAGATATGACTTGGCCCAGGTTGACAGCAGTGGGTAACGCTGTGCATTGTCTTTCCCCCACTTGAGGGGACAAGCCATGAGTGAGATAGAGGTCTTTTGCGGTACAAGTCAATGTCTGCATCAATCTGAACAGTGTGCTGTGTTTCTGCAGTCCCCATGACTGTTATTAGTCGTATTCCCCAACTTGCAGGCACGTGCACACACAGTGCTCAACCTGTGCAGTGCACATGCCCTTTTTAGTCTTGGATAGAAAGTGCCCTTCCAAAATGATCAAAAGTGCCCCCGCTACGCGACACAACCTCCGTCCCGCCCTTCAGTAGGCGCGCGACAACACCCCTCTTGAGTATGCGCGCTCAACCCCCCCTCCCCGCTTTACATTACGCGCGTGACAACACCGCTATTCAATACGCGCGCGACAACACAGCTGATCAGAACGCGCGCGACAACACCGCTATTCAGTACGCGCGCGGCAAAAAACACCCGCTTAGGTTCGATCATTTACAGCTCTTTTTTATCCCCGCTTCTTGCAGCACACTCCATGGATCTGTAGCGACAACAGACCGCAAGGGATAGCTACCTCCCGTTCACTTCATTCGCCTGAGCAAATTTTCTCAGAAGACCTATAGTTTTACCGAGTCATGCGACTACGGTAATATCGAAAAAAAATTAATATTGCGGTATGACGGTATTTACAATACCGTTACATCCCTATCATTTACTAATAATAAGTACTATCAGAACTTGGCAAACGTGCTTTTACCGTTTACGCTCCCAGGGCTTGAAATGACTTGCAAAAACAGCTCAATCTTGACACACTTCCGACTCCGAGTACTTTTAAACATCTTTCATACAACATCTTAAAGGACACCTGTAATTGCTTTTTATGAGCTGATGTTTTTATGAACGGTGATTTAGTAATTTTGTGGTATTGTTTATTGTTGTTTATATGAAACTTTATGTGCTGCCTGCCATCTTGACCAGGTCTCACTAGAAGAAGAGACAGTACTGTCTCAATGTGATCTCCTGGCTAAATAAAGGAAATATACTAATGCATTAGTTGTGCTTGTTACCACTAGTTATTGCAGTTAACATGAACTAACTTTACCTTAAATGACATTAACAAAAATGAATAAATACTGTCATAAATGTATTATTAATTGTTTAAGTTAGTAAATACATTACCTAATGGACTGTTAATTTAAAGTGTTACCAATGGAATTTCTGTCATTTTTATTATTTAAATTATGGCCGAGATTTATGTTTCTTAATTATATGTAGGGCTGCAACTAACGATTATTTTAAAAATCGATTTATCTGTCGATTATTTTTGATGTATTTTGATGTTTGAACTCTCAGTAAAACCTGAACCACACTGTTCCAGTTACTATGACCATTTATGTGAAGCTGCTTTGACACAATCTACATTGTAAAAGCGCTATACAAATAAAGCTGAATTGAATTGAATTATTTTTTCGATGAATCGGATAAAAAAAGAAAGAAAAGCATTCTTTTCTAACCGCTTATTCAAAAAAGCTCATCCCTGAGCTGTTACACTACTACTACTAATAATAATAAAATAAAAAACGAAGTAGTTTTGTCCTGTTTTCAATCCAAATATCTAAACATTTTTAAATCAAGATCAAGACATACTAGACAAATGAAGTAGCATAATTATGTCTTGTTTTCTAAAAAAAAAAAAAAAACACCTCAAAATTAAGTGATTGTTTGCTTAAAACAAGTTAAATTATTTGTGAATTGGTAATGAAAAGTAACCTTAATGAGATATAAGCCCCTTTCACACAGTGATACCGGTAAATATCCGGAAAATTTCCGGAACTACTTTACCGGTATATTCAAAAAAGCGCTGTTCACAATTTTTCCGGAAAAGAGCATTCACACATACATCGCAAAATGCCGGTAAATTCTGACATCATTAACCAGAAATGACCTCTAAACGGCTGCGCTTGTGTTTGTAAACATTTGACTACATCACAAACTCTTCCGATGGATCAGTATTGAGGACAACTCTAATGAAAACATAGAGAAACACTTTCGCATGTCGAGATGTGCATGATATGTGTGTGTGCTGGCGCTATGGGCGCTCACGGGCACACGCAGAGCTTGAAGGTAAACAAACAACGGATTATCATAAACATTTTGTCGATAATTATTTACACAGCATTAAGAAGAACATATAAACGTGATCTGACTAACATCTAGCAGTTAAAGGTGTCTGGAAAAATATTCAAAGGCTTTTATTCTCATAAACCGCGCGCACGTGAATGCGTCTGACTGTTCTGATTGGCTAAAGCAGACGTCTCACGTCAGCCCGTTCTAGACGTGCACGCGCTTATTACGACAATCTTCCTTCTGTATTCACACAGCGCAGCATTCCGGCAAATTACCGGTAATGTTACAACTTCTCTTTCCGGAAAATAGCCAGAACGAATTTACCGGTATTTTCAAAAAGGGCCTGTTCACACATACAACCTTTCCGGAAAATTGCCGGTAATTTTCCGGAAAGGTCTGTATGTGTGAAAGGGGCTATAATCTCTAACAGAAGTTCTACCAGCTCAGATAAACGTGTGAGTGATCGTGATCTATAACGTGAGATGGTCGTCGCCACGTTTACTTGTGGCCGCACGCATGCCTTATTCATAAAAGCAGAACATGCAGGATTCAGCACGTAAATTCACCCGTTACTCCCCAAATACATGCAAGTAAGCGGCTGGTGAACTTAGAGAAGAGTAGATTCAACTTCAGTTACTTTCACTGTGTGTAATGTGTATCTGATACGAATAAAAACACATCGGCTAATTATATTTGAATGGATTGTAAGACTTCCTTGCGCGTTTAACAAATTCTAAATGTTTCGTTTTACTAGTGCGTGTGTGTATTAACATGTCTAAAACATAAATTAAGCATTCGATGGTTAAAACGCTGCATAATTGTGATAATATAACACGTCTTTCTCAGAGGGGTTGAGTCGAAAATAAAAAACGAATGAAATAAAGAAGCACTTATGCGACGGTCCCTTACTGAGAGCTCTGCTCAGCGCCAGCTCTCTCTGCCTCAGCGCCAGACACCGCGCCAAAGCTCAGTTTGATTTTTTCAGTAAAGGTAAACGAGCTAACGCTAACTTGTCATGCTTTTCAAGCAGGATAACAAGTAATACATCAGCACCAGGGACTTTACGGTACTTCAAAATGGAACAAAAGTAGGATTCTGTAGAGATTTACCTGCTGTTGAACTCCCTTCCTCCTCATACCTGTCTATGAGATGCCGACCTCTGTATAAGTGCGCTTGAAAGACCGTGTTTACTCCGCTCCGCGCTCAACTAATGTGTTTTTTTAATAATCAAGCGTCCCCGTGTTGTGCGACACTACGAATCGTTTACGAAATTTGTTGCCAACGCCAACGTTGCCAACGCTGTTAGTAATTATTCTTGTCGGCTTAGTCCCTTTATTAATCCGGGGTCGCCACAGCGGAATGAACCGCCAACTTATCCAGCAAGTTTTTACGCAGCGGATGCCCTTCCAGCCGCAACCCATCTCTGGGAAACATCCACACACACACTCATACACTATGGACAATTTAGCCTACCCAATTCACCTGTACCACATGTTGTTGGACTGTGGGGGAAACCGGAGCACCCGGAGGAAACCCACGCGAAAGCAGGGAGAACATGCAAACTCCACACTGAAACACCAACTGAGCCGAGGTTCGAGCCAGCGACCTTCTTGCTGTGAGGCGACAGCACTACCTACTGCGCTACTGCCTCGCCTTTTAGTAATTAATTTTTATCGATTTAACCGACTGGTTGTTGCAGCCCTGATTATACGTAAACATATTATGATATTTTTATGTTTTAGAAGAGTCAAAAACACTCATCCAGCACTTTTAAACAGGCTGAAACTGAAATGGCTTTAAATGGATCAGTTCAGTAGATTCAGTAGCAGAAGGAAGTGCTCACCTCAGATGTCCCACAGCTTTAGTGCGGACGAGTGAGAGGATGATGTAGTCGTTCTGCTGACCCTGGAACCGGTCGACTGTGGTCACCTGCAACACATCACACAGTCTCTTACCACTGGCCTATTCACTGTATATTTCTTCAGTTGCTTTAATTGAAATCAATGACAATCAGGCAATGTTTACTGTTGAAAACGTCAAAAGAAAAATCAACTCATGACAGATTGACATTTCAATCACCTATTAGTCAAACTCTTTTTATATTTGATACACCGCATGCTTTCATCTGTATCTGTGAGTGTTAAAGCCATGCTTTTAATCAGTGCCTTCATCCTTATAATCCAGATAAACTGATAAAGAAACCATAGATAGAGTGTGTTGATTCAATAAGTTAAATTGTGCTCTGATGTATACACAAGTGCAAAGATTTATGCAGAAATGGTTTTATTAATCATTTATAATCACAGAAATCAGCCCTGGAATCAGAAGCTCTGGATATATTTGACCACATTTGGAGTGGTCATGAATATTAATCATAGCCCCTAGTTTTTCATAATTTTTTGGGGGATTTTTTGTGACAAAAATGACTGATTTTGTGGTGGTCATTCACAGAATTTGTTTTCTCTCGTCAACAGCATGGGAAAAAAAATGAACAAAATAATTTATCGATTTGACCACATCATAATACCAGCCATACATCTGCAAAAAATGCTTTTCTTACTTAGATTTTTTGCCCTGTTTTTAGTCCAAATATCTAAAAGTTCTTAAATCAAGAAGCATTTTCTAGACAAGCAAAACATATTGTCTTGTTTTAAGAAATAATATGCCAAAATGAAGTGAGTTTTTCCTTAAAT